CATTTCACATTATTCGCCCAACTACCACATTTTATCGCCACTCGGAATTGCTCTTGAAAGTTATCACAACTCGAGGTGGACTCGAGAGTCTTCAAATTATGATTGGATTCAGCTTCCGCATAACGAACTGCAGCTGCGACCCCAAATGGAGGAGTCGGCGTCCAGGATCCCCAGATTGTGGTGAGAGAAGCCGGAGTAGCATCCAATTTCGCCCCGGGGCGTTTGCCACGTGCGTGCTCCATTTCTTCTGCTTTCGGGCAAAAGGTGCCAATGTGGCAAATGTTTTGTGCTTAACATTTTTATGGCTGCCATAAGTTGGCCAGTGCCACTGGCCAGAAGCCACTGACCGCAGGCCAAACCTATGGCAACTCGAACCGGATCGTGTCTTGACACTTGAGGTATCGGTTTCATTAGCGAAATGTTTCCGTAAGAATGCCAAAAGGTCGCAATTGATGCCATTTACAAGGCGATTGCCATGGCCATATACGAGTATACGAGTATACAAGTATGTGGTGCCATCTCAAAGGAGGAGCGGTTCGGTTATTACTCGTGTATTAGGTTTCCCCCAGCTTCTTTCTTATCCTCGCCAGGCATCGCCGGCGATTTGTTAACCCGCCGCGACTCAATAAATTTATCAAATTGAAAAATGCGCAATCGAAATCAAATCAAAGCGAACAGCGAACGGGCTCCAAAGGAGTGTGTTGATTTTTATGGAACTGTGGGGAAAACAATTCGGCAAATCGCTTTGCAATCAGCAGCCCCGGATTTAGCCCAGCCCAGTATTAGCCCGCTAACCCTGGTGCCTAGCTACACTCCCAGAAAAATAAACTATTAAATTAGAGTGTTCAATTAAAGAAACACACCAAAGCTTTTGGAATTTTAATAAAATCCAATGATCGTATAATTGAACCATTATTTTTTAAATGAAATTGAAAATGATTAGCTTACCTAATTAGCCTTAAATCATTGCAAATTTCGGTAAGACGAATGTTTTTTTGAGTTCCTTTCGCTGATAATATTATAATATTAATTGAAAAGAGAAAGAAATGCATATTCGAACTATTTCAAATAACTCTAAAAATGCTAGTACTTAATTAAGTAGATAAATTAATAACTAATAATAAGAATTTTTCTATCAAAATCTTCGAATAATACCTTTTTGTGATTAAAGTTTTTTAGAAACTAAAAAACATTTTAAGAATAGTATTAAAATGTGTGAAATGGACCTTAAAATATAGAATTTTGAGTTTGCATTTTTCTTGGTGCAATGGTATCGTATACAAACGACTTGTGACAAAATGACGAAATTTATGTTACTTTTTTGCATCGGCAAAGTGCAAACCGTTGCCGCTTTCCGCGGGGCGGGCAGGTGGGCAGTCTGTCAGCAACAAATGCAAAGCGCCAAAAACTGCGACACTTTGTATAAATTGTGTTGAAAACAGCAGCAGCAGCAGGAGCAGCAGCAGCAGCAGAGCCAACTCCGTCTGTCCAAGGCAATTGCGGACCAAGCTGAGCGGCAACTGGCGATCGGCTCTGGCCACACCCCCTCGGGCAAATGCAACAAATTATTGTCATCAATTTTTAGATGCAAAGCTTGAGGAGTGACATTTATTGAAGCATGAAGCTGGAGTACTGGAGTAGCAGTCGGATCAGTCGGAGCAGGGGCCGCTGGCCAGGCTCAGTTCGGTTCGGGTCCAGGACGTGATTGCTCCACATTGCAGGCGGTTGGTAATGTTGATGATGATTATAGGCACGGTCCGGCATGGTTTGCCCCAGACTACACTGCTAAATAATCCAGGATATTAACATGTAAGTCTCCTAACACAATTAAAAATAACCAAAGTCTCATATTTTAAAAGTTATAGAAGATAATAAGGTGTTTTGGAGGTAATGTTGAAATGTATAACCCAACCAATATAAGATCTTCTGTATTTTTTAAAAACTCTTAAAGACTCTATTTGTGGTATTTCCCAAATCTCTATAGAATGTAGATACGTTTGGTTGAAAAATTGCATGGTAACTTGATTAATCATACAGCCATTATTATTTCGTAATGTCTAGCAACTATGTTTATCCTTAGGTTAGATTACAAATTTCTACTAATTTTTAGGATATTTGTGGAATACATATTTGTTTTTAATTTCATTCCAATTTCTCTTTTAAAATGTAGATCAAAAGTACCGATACTCACATGATTAATTGTCGAATTTTCCCCCTGTGTATCCCGACTTGGTCGATTCCTCGCCAGTTAGGAGTGACACGTTCGCCGCTGATTGCTAGGAAACGATGGCAACAAGTGGCCATCGGCTGGCCATCCACTTAAATGAGTTTCAGGCTGGGAGTTTTCTTGGCGCTTTTGTTTCGCTTCGACTGCGTTTTTGTCTGATTTTAGTTTTCGGTTTTAAGTTTTCAGTTTCTAGCGGCGGGAGGCGATGCCGCTTCATTAGCAGCTCGCTTGGCCCCAAAAAGTAAAAGCCAAAAAGTTATGACCATATTTGTGCTAAATTATGAGGCCCTTTCATAAATCAGGCACTCGGGCAGCGGCGACCTAGCGAAAAATGCCAAGATTATGGCTGTGGCAATGTTTAGTGTGGCACCATTAGCCGCAGCCCCGGAAAACTGCGCAAATGGTCAGCGGTGGAAATTTACATTGTGCCTGGACGTGGACAATTGCAAGTGCTCGACTTACTTTAAACTGTGCCATTTATCATATGCGAAAATATTTTGTCAGTCCGCTTTTGGCCTTTTGCCATTTTCACCATTTCCATTTGGCCATCTTTCGCTTTTCAATGAGACCAAGCCGGGTTTGAATCTGTACTGTTGGTGGTTATGTCGGGACCCGTCCCCCAAAAAGGCTACCGTTTTGGTAACGTATTTTTTTTTTCAAGGGGCTTTCGGGGGAGTTGGGGGAGAAGTTACCGTTTGGCTCGTGCATGTCTCGTGGCCAGGCAACAATAACTGAACAACTGGACAACAAAAGCCCCCAAACAGTCGGATGTACGATCACTTGCATTACGGTTCCAGTTGTGTATTTCTGCCACATACCCGAATATGAGTTTACTTTACTTTCCTGGGGCAGTGTTTCTGCCTCTATCCGAATGGAACGGGGCCATGATCTCTGGCTGAGCTGGCTAGGAAGTGGTGGGGCTCACAAACAATTACCAGGGTGCCGGTGCCAGGAGTAAGGACACTCCAGGCGAACTGCGCAGGAAAGTGGGTCGTCGCCTGAACATGCAAATGAGTTATCGCTTTAACGATAGCAACTAATCATAATACATTTTCTTTTACCTCCATGATCTTTTCAACAAAAGCAATTAAAAGAAAGAGTATGTCATACAAAATTTAACATTGAATCAAACATTTAGTGCACACATTTTATATTTTAAAATCATATTTTAAGCAAAATAAAAGGCTCAACAAATAATTCATAATATTTGTTCATTAAATTCTGAAATTTAATTTGGTATTATATTATTGTGACCGGTATTTCTGATTTTTTCTAAAATTTTTTATTTTAATATGACTAATTTTAAATTAAGTTATCATAAGTAAGATGTTACAATTTTTCTTTACAAATTTTACTTATAAAAAGATTAAGTTTTGTTTGATTTTTGATATTCCAAATAATAATCACATTGTTGTAAACAACCTCCAGTTGTCGTCATGTTCTGCAATTGGGTTAAGTGAAGTTTCTGCATTGCAAAAGATTACTATATAAGAATGCGCCAGGGCACTTATGAACTTTGGGGCTCTTCTCGCTAAATTGACATCGCATACGCAACCCAGGCCAGCCAATTAAAGACTCTACGTGACCTCCAGCCAAAAAAAATAAACAGCAAAAACAAAGAAATAAAACTGAAGATAAAGGCTGATGACAAAAAAAATAAGAAACCAGCGCTGCCATGTTGAGCTTTCCACGCTGCCACTCTTTCTGTGCGAGATACGCGGTATGTGCAGCTAATTGACCAGCCCCAGACGATGATGCACTTCATCAAAAAAATTCCAAAAAAGCAGAAGCAGCAACCAGAAATGACAAAAGCCAAAAAAAGAGCGAGTGAGTGAGACTTACTCAAGTGGCGGGGCATTACGTCAACGTCAACTCAATTTGGCGGACAACAGCATGGGACAGAGTCTACGACTGGGAATCGGAGGATGGAGGATGGGGCTGAGTGCGGGTCAAGTGCTGACGCATCAGCCAAATCCAGTGAAGTGCACCAAAACATATAACTGCTTGAAAAATATAATGAGCGGAGTGGTTGCTGTTGTTGGCAGCATCATTAAGAGCGATCATCTGTCAGGCGGATCGTATACGAATGAGATTTGTGACTCGCTTTAGCCTCGCTATTGTTTCTTTTCCAATGAAATTAAAACTTTATGGACTGTGCTCAAATTGCATTACACAGATCAGAAGGAATTAATTGTTCTGCTAAAATAATGATCGGGTATAAATATTACGAACATTTTGATGTTTGAGTTTCTAAACGGGAAAAACGATTATGATCACTAAACCAAACAACACCTGCTGACAATATTGGACTACCTTCCATAAAACTTTGAGTCATTTGGCTGCCATAGTATCTTCCCATACTCATTATTCGCCACTACAATAACTATATTTTAGTGTTCATATCAAATAACCAATAGGTTATATGCAAGTAATTGCTCCATGAAACTAAATCCGTTTTTAAAAAGTCAAACAATTGTGGGTTTGACCAAGAGGTATACTGAAATTGTATTATTGCGGAATGGACAATATTCTAGGCCAAAAGCCTTTGATCCCTTAGCAAAAAAATATATGTATAACAGAAAGTATGTCTTGTTGACCGTGTATATTAATATATATTTGCTAGTAATTACTATGTAATGGCACGACAAAAACCTCTCGTGATGTGTGAAATAAATTAAAAGTTTGACGCGACATTTATTTCCCCTGGGAGCAGTTGAGGCAATTGGAGGAGTAGGATAAAAGCTGAAACTGAAAAATCTTTTCCTTATTCAACATGGGTCGGTTGTACCTTCTGTTAGCTACCTGGATTATTTTCAGTCCAGTTAGGGATTGCTCATATAATATCCTACTTAATCATCTGAGAAGCGAGCTTAAATTTGAAAATGCCCTTCTGCTGGGCACCTCGGATTCTATTTGGTTGAAACACTTGTGGCAACTTCCTGTTCCCATTATCCAAATTAAAGATCAGTCCAAGGAAGACTTTGATTTCGGAAATAATCATTCTCACAACGCCCTCACAATTGCTTTTGTGAACACATCCCCGTATGAAATTTTGGAGCTCATTTACTTAAATCTAAGAATGTTAAATACAATGCCAGTGCTCTTGGTTCTTAAGAATAGAACTATACGAATATATCCATTGCTGGAATGGTGTTGGCACCATCAACTTCTCAATGTCGTCGCTATTGGCCAGGATTTCGAGGTAAGATTTATATTTTTGATTAATTAAGTTGTTCGAAATTGAAGAGGGTAAAGGCTTCTGGTGATTCTTTTGAAGTTGCCTTAAAGGTCGACGTTGCAACTACTTCTTCTTCCTTTCCTGCGGGGACTTCTTGTGCTACTTCTGATGAAGCAAAAACCAATTTCGTTGACTTGTCATCGGGTTTTAGCTGCTCTGTCATAAACTTATAGCTATCCGTGGGGATAATATCCACATTTTTAGGATCTTCTAGAGCATCACAAGCCAATATGCACTCCAGTTTTGTTTGAAAACGATTTGGATTTCCGCCGCAGCCACCGTATACAAATTCCACGCAGCGATTGTTGTCGAAGTCGTAGGCAAACATATCAAAATTTTTTTGGCAAGGACCATGATTAGCCATAAATGAGCATTTTTCTTTGAAAAGGAGTGTTGATGTAGAGTTTCCTCAAGTTAAACGATAACCTACCTTGGCGACTTGCTTTAGAAGTCCCAGTGCTTATCGAGTAAATCAATAAGTTGTACAGTGGAAACAAATACATGACTGTGAAATAATTTATGATTAAATATGTTAAAAACTTGAATTTGGTGAAATATTAATCACACGCCCTGTGTGATTTGTCTGATATTTACAGGAGTCTTTGATTGTGTACAGCTACACGCCATTTCCCATCCTGCAGTATATCGAGAGAGTTTTGGACAACAGTACACAAATATTCGAAACACGTTTGGAAAACCTTCATGGCTATCAAGTGCCCATTGTTTTGGGTGGATCTTCGCCGCGTTTGATTGTGTATCGTGACTTGGCTGGGGAACTGTTTTTCACAGGACCTGTGGGTAATCTTAAAAAGAGCTTTGAGCAGCGTTTTAATTGCAGACTGGTGCAGCCCTATCTTTTTAATGAGTCAGCTATTCTCCCGGCACGTCAACTTGTTGGATCCGTGCGAAATGGTAGTGTCCAGTTTGCCATGGCGGCTATTTATATGCAAACTCCGGCGATTGGATATTCGTACCCCATCGAGCTGATGAGCTGGTGCCTGATGATGCCGGTGCCAGCGGAGGTTGCTCACAGTCAGCTGTACAGAATGGTATTTGGACCGACGGCATTTTGGATCACTTTCCTTGTCATGGTGCTAATTTCATTGACCTTATCCTTTGCTCTTCGTCTATATGGATATCGAGTTACTCTCAGTGAGTTTTTCCTTCATGATAGCTGCCTGAGAGGAGTTATGGCTCAACCCTTCTGCGAGGTTCTTCGAGCACCTGCCTTGGTAAGGGGCATTTACCTGGGGATCTGTGTGTTTGGACTACTGATCACCTCCTGGTACAACTCATACTTTTCCACCTTTGTGACCAGTGCTCCAAGACTTCCTCCGTTTACCAGTTATGAGAGCATCCAACAGTCGAATATCAAAGTTGTGATTTGGTCACCGGATTACGAAACACTTCAGTTCTACTATGTTAACATGAGGAAGTACTCGTCTATCTTTCAGTTGCATCCGGACTACAAGGAGTTTATTCATTTGCGGGATTCCTTCGACACCAGATATGGCTATATGATGCCAATGGAGAAGTGGTTACTCATAAAGGAGGAACAGAGGGTCTTCAGTTCCCCACTGTTCAGTCTAAACGAAGATCTCTGCTTTTACCACACGGTTCCAATTGTGTTTCCAATCGTAAATAACTCTTTATTTAGGGAGCCCCTGAATCGCCTCATTCTCGACGTGACTGCAACTGGTCTCCTTAATCGCTGGCGGGACATGGCCTTTACGGAAATGATCAAAGCCGGACAATTGCACCTTGAAGATCGGAGTAAGCCAAAGGAATTTCGACCTATGAAAGTAGAGGACCTGGAACAAATTTGGCGCATGGGAGGATTTATGCTTGGCTTTGCCTCATTGGTTTTTCTACTTGAATTGATTTGCTTCTGGCGACAAAAGATATTGCAAAAAATTGGATATTTAATTTTACTAACAACATAATTACGCAAACAATTTTGTTACTAACACATAAATAAACTGCTTCAAAAAATAAAATATTCTGTGTTTAATAAATCCTTTTTAACTAACGAAAATGATTTTTGTTTTATTGAATTAAAGCCGTACCCTGAAGTTATTAATGTAAAGAGCAAAAAAATCAAGCCTCGTGTTAATTTCCTAACCAATCTTGTCTGATTGAGGTTATTTCCGCTGTTTTTCTGTAATCCCCAGGGAAATGTTTTTTATTTTCTTTTTCGCCCGCGACTTGTTAACATGTGCTGCTAATTGGAATTAACCATTAGCAACGTCGTCGGCGGATTCATTAGCAACCCTTTAAATGTGCAGCGGCATCAATCAGTGTCATGCAGTTGTCCCTCGACCATCGTGATGGATTGCCATTACCCAATGTGGATCCTGAGCGGGCTTTGTCTGATTAGCCTGGTCAGTGCCGCCACGGTAATTGAATTACTGGTTAGGATAAAGCTGGAGTCCGACTTTGACTACGTGCTGGTCATGAAAAATAGGAACTTCAGCCTGCCCGAACAAATTTGGAACGGCAGTACGTTGGCAAAGGATATTATGGAAAGAGTTCATGTGCCAGTCCTTCAACTGGACGAGAAAGTGAGCTACTTTTTGCACAACAGCCTCAGCAGACGTCTAGTGTCAATGGTATTTTTAAGTAGTGGAAATCTCGAGGAGCACAGTGGTCTGCTCACAGCTTTGGTACAGAATCTCAGGCACATGACCACTTCAAGAGTAATTTTTCTAATACAATCGGAGGTATTATCAAAAGTGGCTTACGAATTATTTAAGGATTGCTGGAAAAAAAAGTTATTGAATGTTATGGTTCTATTTAAGGACTATGAGGTGGGTAAGAAAGAAAGATTTCAGCTTTTATCTGCACTCTTTGATATTTGTTATTACTACATACAATTAATATGACTTTATCTATTTGATCCACGCATATCCTTATATGTCCACTTACCAAACATTCATTGATCTAACTAAGCAAATAAAATATTCAATTCCAGAGCACATCGACCTTCTACAGCTACTCGCATTTTCCTATTTTACAATTAGAGGAGCGTCTCTACGAACCGAGTCTGCAAAATATACCTATTTTTCCCGACCGCCTGAGAGATTTCCATGGGTACGAGATGCCCGTGATTATTGGTGGAACCTCTCCTCGAATGATAGCCTACCGAAACAAGAAGGGTCAAGTGGTCTACGAGGGAACAGTGGGCCATTTCATGATGGCCTTTCAGCAGAAATACAATGTTAGATTTGTCCAGCCACTGCAGGGTAAAAATCCCTTGGATTTTGCTCCTTCCATGCAAACGGTTGCTGCAGTGCGAAATGAAACCGTGGAGATGTCGATGTCGCTGACATATCCAACGATTCCTCCGTTTGGTTTTAGTTACCCTTATGAACAGATGAACTGGTGTGTGATGCTACCGGTTGAGGCCGATGTGCCACCTCTGGAATATTATACGAGGGTCTTTGAGCTGGCTGCCTTTCTACTAACTTTGGGAACTCTAGTGATAATATCGTGCCTCCTGGCCAGCACATTACGGCTTCATGGTTATTCCACCAACATCAGTGAGTTTCTGCTCCATGACAGTTGCCTGAGAGGAGTGCTGGGGCAATCTTTTGTGGAAGTGTTTCGAGCACCTACCCTCGTGCGGGGTATATATCTGGAGATCTGCATTCTGGGCTTTCTGATTACCGCCTGGTATAATTCCTATTTCTCCAGTTATGTGACCACTGCCCCGAAACAGCCCGCTTTCAGAACTTATGATGATATTTTGGCCTCTAAACTGAAGGTGTTGGCCTGGAAGCCGGAATATGCGGAGCTATTCGGCCGACTTCTGGAGTTTCGCAAGTACGAGCCGATGTTTCTGGTGGAACCGGACTTTAACCGATATCTGGCACTTCGCGAATCGTTGGATTCGCGATATGGTTATATGATAACCACCAATCGATGGGTGCTGATCAACGAGCAGCAAAAGGTTTTCTCCCGACCACTTTTCCAAAAACGAGACGACTTTTGCTTTTTCAATAATATACCTTTCGGATTACCCCTCCACGAGAATTCTGTGTTTATGGAACCGGTGCTCAAGTTGATATTGGAGTTGTACGAAACAGGTCTAACTTTCCACTGGATGGCCATGGGTTTCTCGGAGCTCATTGATGCGGGCGAAATGCACTTTGTGGACTTAAGTCCTCATCGTGAATTTAGGGCCATGCAGATCCAGGATTTGCAGTACGTGTGGTACGGGTTTGGCTTCATGGTGGTGTTCTCTACCCTTGTTTGGGTGTTGGAAATCTTAAGCTACAGACTTAAATCTAAACCCATTTTCTCGCGTCATCTTAAATTTCAAAACCAATACTAAAAAGTTTTTAAAAAAAGTAAAAAATGAAGAAAAAAAACTAGTGAAAAACTATGCACCCATTGATTTTATGACCATTAAATTACGGTTTAGGACCCCTAAGTAAATCGATTTTTGTTAGTTGTAAAGGGTGAGCTCCCTAAACGCAGGGTGCCTGCACTTTTAACGACTATAGTCGGTGTAGTTTTTCAATACAAGCTGCTTTATGGTTATTTGTGTAGCCATCAAATATGACTTTCCTTTCGTTTCGTTTACCCCACTCGGGGATCGGATGTTCCCGATTTCCATTGTGCAAATATTTGCACAGCAGCTCGCCGGCTCAAAGTTCAACATCAAAAGCAATTAAGACGCGTGCTTGCCGCAGTGGCAGCTGAACACCGAACACCGAATTCCCAGTGTTTGAGCTCCCCCAAAGGTGCGCTGATGTTAGCCACCTGTGCGACGGCAACTGGCGCCTCTTGAAATTCCCTAATCGACATGTTTCGATCTGAAACGACGCGGCCGGCAGTGGAGGCATCACCATCAGCGGTACACCGAGAAAAACTGATTTATTTTTTTGCTGTACTATTAGATCAAGATCAGAATTAAAGCGTTTCAAATACATTTAGCTTTAAAAAATGTGTAGGTTTTTATACCATTCAAAAAGATAAAAATAATAATACAATTTTGTATTGTAGTTCAGTAAAGGGTTTCAAATACATTTAGCTTTAAAAAATGTGTAGGTTTTTATAACATTCAAAAAGATAAAAATAATAATACAATTTTGTATTGCAGTTCAGTTAAAGGGAATTTTTTAATTTTGAATTTAATTAGAAAAAAATAAATAATATAAAGAAATAAATAATCAAAAGAGGATCTGATTAGTAGTTTGAAGAAATCAGGAATTATTATTAATACATTTTAGAAAAAGTTAAAATATTATAAACCATTGACAAAATTTTAATAAGATATCAAATAACTCAAATATTTTCTCAGTGTGCTAGTCGTGTTTCACCGATCGTGAAGTGAAAAATTTTCTCTAATCTGCGCTGATGGCACGCATTTGTAGCCCCCCGCCAAACGATGCCGGCAGTCTGGGGCCGGGTACTTTGATTTTGACTGACAAGTGCCGCCTGCCTGCTGATGCTGCTGCTTTTGCTGCTGCAGTTGTTGCTGCGGTGCTGCTGCAGTTGTTGCTGCGGTGCTGCTGCAGTTGTTGCTGCGGTGCTGCTGCAGTTGTTGCTGCCGTGCTGCTGCAGTTGCAATTCGTTGTTGACATGCGCAGCTGCATGCGCTTTCATGTGCGCTCAGCTCCTTTATTGGAGAAAATTATTTCAGACCTCGGCCAGACCCATCTGCCATCTCCGTAACGAGCTAAAACTAATTAACCCACGACAGACCCAAACAGCAGACACGGGGCGCATCTTAATTGTCAATAAAACGTTTTAGATTTCTTTATTTTTAATGCTTGCAATACTAAAAAAATTAATGCAAAACTTAACCGCAGATGGATGTGTGTGTGTGTGTGTGTCTTGGCTGGTGTGTGTGTGTGGCATAAATAATAACTAACAAAGATTTAACTAAGATTTCGATGTGTGGCTTAGCCTAGGCTTGGATATAAACAAAGGATCGTTCTCTATGTACATAAACTATTAAGTTCAATAAATTAGCAGAAAATACTCGTATTGCAAAGTGTACACAGTTTATAACAAATCGTTAAAACGTTACATAACCCAAACACCATTGAAGATATTTTTGCGTAATCTAAATTTAATGTCCATTAAAAACTATCACAAAATAATTGGCAGTTTAATTAACCACTAACTACGGCTGATTTATCAGATAGCTTAGCCTATTCAATAAAACTAGTTGGGGGAATGTGGTGTTATCTTTAATTATAGGGAATTCGCCTTAGTTATGCGCCTTGTGTTTATCAAATACAAAAATAATGGCAAGTGCAAGTTGAGTTGCTGAACGTATGGTGTGTAAACGTAAGTTGATAAAGTAATGCTTGTGCCCCCTCTTTTGAATGCCTTCGAAGTTGGCTAACACTCGGCCCAAGAGATCAAAGAGATCCTTGAAGGAGAAAGGAGCGGGAATTTGCTGTAGGATAAGCTCCGGAGGAAGCGTTTCGAATTTAGTGCCTTAGGGGAGTGTTCCTCGCTCAAATATTTGGCATTCCCCTTGTTGGCCTTATTAATAGGTATACAAAAATTATCTTTATTTACGCGTATATTTACATTAACACTAGCAAACAAATTTATGCTAATTTGGGCAGAGCAACTAAGAAAACAAATACTTTTAATTTACAGGAAACACGCATCGTGCTGGGGCTAGTTGAAGACTCTGAAGGATTATGGGTGATTAGGAGAATTATATATGAATTTTTAATAAATCACTCACAAATTGTACGATTTGCAAGGCGATTTTTATTTTTAGTATTGATATTCTAGTTTGTGGGTTTTTAAAAAATTGCTTTAATTGTTTAGCAAGGAAGCGTTTGGCCTCATTTTGATATCACCACTCGTGGAATTGCTTCATTAGCTTCGTTACACTTCTATTTCTACACGCCTAGCATATATGTATATTTTAGTTTAACTTTAGCTATTAAAATCTTCAAAATTTGGCACATTTAAATTTAATTTGTTTGTGTAAATGTACATTTAATTGAGTATTGTATTTGGAAGTGCTTCGAGTGTGTGTCTGTCTGTGTGTGTGGGCATATATAGGAATTGCACAGAAAGCTGAAATAGGAATTCATCAATGACGTAAATTCGAGTTGGGAGTACGAGTATTAAGGTATTTAGAGTAGTAATAGTTTCTCTACATTTTCATTTTGTTTTGTTTTGTTTTTTTTTCGGTTTTGAGTGTGTGTATTTTGTGAGTAAGGAACAAGAAATAGTTTAGCCGGGTGAATCCCCGCTGGCGGCTGGTTACTACCGATTGGTGAGGAGTCCATTGGCAGGTGGCAGTACTCCTCCAGGTGGTGTATTGGGATTGCTGATCATCACGGGCAGTGAGGATGGCACCACTCCTCCACTGAGTTGTCGCTGATTGAGGGAGGCGGCACTAGCTGTCCCCGTAGATGAGCCACTGGATCGCGGATGTTTGCCCGACCCACCCTTGATTAGGTTTCCATTATTCTTCTGGGTCATGTGCGTCTGATAGTGCTTAGCCAAATGCGCCTTTTGCCGGAAACTCTTGCCACAAAGTGAACAGGCGAAGGGTTTCTCACCCGTATGCGTACGTATGTGTACATTCACGGAGTACTTGTCCTTGAATCCCTTCGAGCAAATGGAGCAGTAGTGCAGGGATCGCTCTTTTCTCTGGGCACTTCCCGAGGAGGAGGATGAACTGCCCCCGGAATTGGCCGGCGGACTGTTGCTGCTGCTACTGGCACTGCCACTCGATGAGGAGCTGCCACTCCCACTGCCGGCGATTAGGGGATTGCTCCCACTGCCCTGATTGTTGTTATTGGCCACATTGGGATTGTTGTTATTGCTACTGCTGCGCTTGTACGCCTTCTTGGGCTTGGTCACCCCACCTCCGGATCGGACATGGCTGCTGGCGGCGGACACGACGGACACTGGCGCCGAAGGCGAAGTGGAGGTACTAACCTCCGGTTTCAGTGGCTGTGGTGGCTGCAATTGTCCCGCTGGAGTTACCGCAGGACTGGATGAGATTTGCATGAGAACATCGCCGGGTTGTCCGTAATCTCCCGGAGTTGGAGTCCCTGCGGAGCCGGCAGTACAGAACTGCTGCACCTCGTTGGCTATGCGCTTGATCTTCTCGAAATCATCGCTGAATGCGTTCTCCAGCGAAAGGAACATGTCGTCCACCAGAATGTTGGCATTGCCATTATGTTGCTGCTGCTGCTGTTGTTGTTGTTGCTGCTGGGAACTGAGATGAATGCCCTGCGCTTCATCGAACATCTGGGCGGCACTTAAGGTGGAGTCGGCAAAGCCCAGAGCAGCAGCCTCATCGGCAAAGAGTAACCGCCGCATGTCCTCATCCTTGACCACCGGCATGGGCAATCCATTCTGCATGTGCAAACCCTTGCCATAACCCTTGCCCTGAAGGGCACTCCGCAGCAATGACTCCGCCGTGCTCTGCTCCGTTTCCGTGTTGTGATCCGCCATATGCCAGTCGTTGTTGTTGTTCTGGAACTGGGCCAACTGTTGGCCCAAATCATTGCCACCCGCCAGGGAGATGGCCGTGACCAGCGATGGCAGCGTCTGTTGCGTCTGCTGACCCTGATTCTGGGCCTGGGAAATACTGCTGAGACCATCCGTTCCATTTCCGATCACATCCTTGCCATCCGTACTGAAACCACTGTCGTCGTAGGGATACTCTGATTTGATGTAGCCCGGAAAACTGCCCAGCAGACTGTCCAGATCCAGGGAAGTGGGCAGTTGCTCCGCCTCCGAGCGCTTTAGCCAGGGCTCTCCTCCATTTAATACTGTCAGGGTGTAGATCTGGCCATCGGTGGTGTCCAGGCTGCTGATCGTGTCGCTGCTGCTTCCCGCTCCACTCGAAGCTGCCGAGGAGCTGCTCGCATTGGGCTGCTGTTGCTGCTGCAACTGCTGATGCTGTTGTTGCTGCTGCTGATGTTGCTGGTGTTGTTGCTGCTGCTGTTGCTGTTGCTGGAGGTGGGTCTGCGGCGAGGTGGGACTGGGCTGGTTGGTGCTGGTGGATCCACCATTACTGGCGCTGGCTGTGACCGGCTGCTGTTGCCAGCAGTAGCGATCGAGGTCCTCGAAAATCGAGTTGGAGTCGAGGCGACTGCTATCCTTGTCCTGGTGCCAAAACTGCAGATTAGAAAGATTGGAATAGAATCATTTAATAGGATGTTTTGGCTGGATCTAATCGATTTTTTTGTGGATTCTTGTTCTCGCTGATTCTTTTTTATATTTATTGTAATGTTCTTCCTAAGTGCTCTATTTTTGAATTAAGTATTTTAAATTGTATTATTTATATATAACATTTTGTGGAGTTTTTTTATATTTCTCTATTTTATCAACATTTAAAAGGAATCTTGTTTAACTTTAAATTAAATGCTTTTTATTTACTCATAAACAGATATTTTATATTAATAACATTATTGAATTATTAATTTACATAACAGTATAGGAGCCTTAACCATCTATGAGACTAGCGCATCAAAATGTATTTCAACTTTTATTTCAAACACACTATGTTTCCATACTTCTTTTTTGTTTGTTATTGAAGACGATTTAGATTTTATTTCTGGATTAATAGCCTTCTTATTCTTATAAATTTTGGTAATGCAAAAATGTGAGAAATTGCTCAGTAGCTTACCTCATAGCCCTGTAACGTGGGATCGCCGCCGTTGCTGGAGCCGTTGCGGTTGCCGACGGGCACCACGACACCGCCGCCGCCCGCACCACCGCCCCCTCCGTCGTGGATCATGCTGCTGTTGGTTCTCGCACCACCACCACCGCAGAGGCTCTGCTGCTGGGACTGCGACGTAATGGGCTGGTGCACCACTTGCACGTGGCTGTTGCCGCTGTGACTGCTGTGGCTGTTGTGACTGTGCGACGGCTGCTGGTGGTTCTGGTGGTGCTGCTGCTGGTGCAGACTGACGCCCAAAGCCTCCACGCCCACGCCCACACCGACACCCACACCCACGCCGATGCCGATGCCCATATCGGGACCTGTGACAAAGTCAAAGAAGTCCGCCTTCGAGAGATCCTCGGCACGAAAGGACTCGCTGATGTCCATGCCAGCCGCTGCGGACATATCCTCGGTGCCGATCATTTGCTGAGCCTGAAGCGCCAGAGTAGCGCCTTAAAAAACCAGGTACTGGTTAAGTCCGATAAGTGGATAAGCTGAAAAAGAATAGAAAATAATGTTGAGTTAATTATAATTTGCGGCAAGAGATATTTATTTATAGAAGTTTTGCATAGTTTAGGATAATACAAATATTATTGTAGACTTTTATTAAGGTAGAAATGGGATATATAACGAATGTCGATAACCTTAAAATTAATGAATCTCCAAAGACATTACGTTCACATTATAAATAATTCATATAATTGTGTTTTTATTACCAAAGCCCTTTATAAGTCCTCAAAGAATAAATTTAATTTCAGAAATGATGTTATTTTCTTGCTATTTCAATTACAGACATTTTAGAATATTCTCAATAATTATTTGCAATTAACTGCGAGGCATTTTTATAAGGTTACTTTGACTATGATTTCTGTAAATTAAAATAAGTTATACGAAATAAAAATCGTGATGTTTACAATCCCTTTTCTTGTTCAAAATGAAAAATTCTTATAATTCCATTGGCCCGTTTACATCAGTTTCGATTTCGCTTTGGGTTTCGCTTTCGGTTTCTCAATTTCTCCAACGCACTCACACACGCGCAGAGACTTGCATTAAAAGTCACACCAATTGATTAAAGCCACTTGTCAGTTGGCCACTTAAGTCAATCAGTCATTCACATTCGCATTCGCTCATTCTAGCCACATGGCCCGGGCCTGCATTCCGGCCATACTTGCATTTTAATTTGAGGCAGTCTCGGCCGGCTCTGCCTCTTAGCCGGCTATCTGCAAATAAATAAATCAAACTGACAGAAGGGTGACAAAGTGTAAACACATTTGGCGTGCTCGACTCGTAAATCTCTCGGACTTTGGCTAATGCCAAATTCTGCCAACCTGTCGCTGCGACAGTTTTTTCATCTATTTGGTCAGCAGGCCAGCACTTTTTGTTTCAGCAGGCTTGGCTTGTTTCATTTGCATAGATTCGGCAAGTGCCCGGCATTTAGAATAGTTTGCAAAAAAAAGTGAATAAAAATAAGCGTGGCTACCGTGTAGCCCATATCGCGCTTACCCCTAAGGTGATCGAACTGACAGTCTGTGGCCATTTCAGTTAGCGTATCGCTAACGTACCCCCGAGTCGTGTTCTGGCAAATGTGCCGAATGTTCAAATTGTCAAATTGATTCTACTCTTTTTTTCTAGTTTCTTTTTTTTCTGTTACTCCCGACACTGACACCGACATCGAAACCGACTCCAAGTCGCCTGGGCTTAGTTGTGTGTATGAAAAATGGACCTTACGGCCTGGCAGCGTGAGAACCACAAACAAAAATGACTTAACAAATTTGCATGGCCCGCTCGTACGTAGAGCTGGCTTGCATACTTTAGATAAGGGCAGAGCGTAGAGAAAATGCCGCTGCTGGAAAATATTTCAGATGCGGCTGCTGTAGAAACTTTAAGTGCAATATCTGGGGGGAAATCAAGTTGGCAGGGGATCTGGAAATAGCTAAGACGGCAGTCAGCACTTGGAAAAAATGTAACCTAATCGTTATTTTTTACAGATTTGTTTTTATGTTAGGAATTTTAATTTTTTTTTAAATTTAAATTTTGTATCTATTAAGCAGAACTTTTTAAAGGAAGAAACAAAAGTGTGTTACCCCAAATTCTATAGTTTTTCTATTCAAAAAGACATTTTGAAATCTGGTTTCTTTTAAATCAGTTAGAGTGATTTAATATATTTTTAGAAAATGTTCTCTGAAGGACATAATTATCCTTACTTAAGGTTTCTGGGTAATTTATCCGAGAGAGAAATATTTTTTTGAGTGCCAGTCAGCAGCATCAACACCTGATCGCCAAAGCCACTCAAAGGAGGCAAAGGCTGCCAACAAGTGCAGGCCATTTGGCAAGCGGTCAGTTAACATTTTTAAGGCCTTCGAGGTGAGCTCGTTTCCCGGCTTTTTTGCCTGGCCTTTATCGCTGCTCCATCGGACAAAAAAATAAAATTTCTCCACAACCGAAATGCTGCGTAATCATTTGTGGTCATTTGCCTGCCGACTAACAGCCGCACCAAGATCTGCCTAGTAGTTTACTTAATAATCATGTTTAAAATGCAGAAATTACTTTATATATACTTTATGGCCAGCAGCGGGGAAAAGCGCCAGCAGAACGGGCAAAAAATATGAAATAAAATAATAAGCCTTTGTTTGAGCATTTTGGCGCTCAAATATTGACTAATTTGAGCACGATTATTGTGATTTGGATGCGGGACCGAGTCGGGAAAGAAAGTTGGCCATCCAGCCAGCCAGTCAGCCAGACGTGCTCATATAACTGGCGGCCAGCCAATCATGGACGTGGTCGCCATGGATATATCTTTGTATCTTATGGATGTGGATGTCCATGTGGATGTGCATGTGGCGGGCACATGCATCTTCCCAGCGGTGCCATGATGAAGATGCATGCGAATGCGAATTCGAATACGAAGACAAACCATCGAGGGGGGATTGAATGCTGCATGGTAATCGCAATCGTAATCGTAGAAATTGTTAGCGCATTTTGGCCAATGCAAACAGCCTGAGGCGGCATCATTTAAAAAACATGATAGCATGATGGGTTTTATGTTTCGGGGTGACTGGTGGCGGAGTGGGGGGTACTCGATTATGGGCCATAAATAAAAACGTTTCAATAATTTGAATGTTTTTAATTAAGCCCGCTCTCTGGCATATTTATTTACACATTTTGGTAGCGAGGCAGCCATGATTTATTCGAGTATGCAAATTGCGGCAGACAAAGGAAAATGGTTAGGAAATATGTGCAAAAATGTGGCAATATTCGGCACAATTTCTTTGGTCTAACCTGGGCATGATTAGCGTCCCATAAGCTTCGTCTTTGTTGCGGGCGTCAAGAGGAAAATGGTAAAGAAAATATAAAAAAAAAGCATCACGGTAGTCAAAAGCCAGCAGTCGTCTGAGATTAGTTTTTGTGCAGGAATTTTTATATTGCGGTTACACAATTTTCTTTAAGTTGGTTGGCTCTACCATTCCCCGTTACCCCGCTGACAATCAATGAAAATCACACGGTTTAGCTGCTTCTGCTTTGGCCGCTTTTTCTTGAGCAAGTTTGTCGCTTTGACTGCACGATTTTCCACGCATTTTTAACCCAAATACCGTGCTAAACGATTTTTTAATGTCTTCACTAACAAGTTTCAATTACCAATCGTCAAATGCGTGCGCATAAAAACTGAAACCAGTTGTACTTAAACCGCAGCACCACCAGCACCCCCTCTCTATCTTTGGCTCAATCAATTAAAATAATTCGCCTGATTTCATAAAAGAAGACTATAAAGCGTAAGGAAGACAATGAGACGGCGGGAAAAACCTGCTGGCCGAGGACTTTGAGCCAAGTTGATTCACGTACCGCAATCAAATTGCACTTCGATTGGCCAAAATGGAGCCATCAGTGGAAAGCGGCAGTCGTCTCATCGACTCGTAATCACATTTATTGAGATAAACGATGGGGCGTTCCGCGTTGCGTATACGCAGTATGTGTGTGCGTGCACAATGTGATAATTGTGCGAGGGAAAATGGGTTAATCATGTTCGGCACATAATTATTAATGAAGAAAGCAGCTTGAACTTGACTATGCTGCATACTTTTGGGATCATGTTGCGTGGCCTATGAGGCAATCGTTATTTTTCTCAATTTTAATGCCTCCATATTAATGGCTACGGCGTATTCAAATTGCTAAATTCCTCACCGACGCATAAATTACGAAAGCCATTCGAAGACCACTCGTAAAACGCACACAAAACGCATCAAAAAACACACGGGAGCTCGCAGCTGCAAATTTTGTGCACTGCAAATTGTCATCGTTAGCCAAGTGAGACCGCCGGCCATAAGGCAGTCGATCATTTCTCAGCTAGATAATTATCGCCCACCAGTTGAAAGGCTGCCCCCAAAAGCGGACCAGCCGGATATGCCAGCAGTTGGTAGTCGCAGTCGGTTGCTGCTGACCAATTGACCAATAGCTCAGCGGACCAGCGGCTGATAAGAAGTGCTGCAGCTGGGATGGGGATGGCTTATGCTTCAGTTGCATGCAAATGCATAATTGAATCAAATGGTCCTCCCGGTCGCAGCAACTTTCGAACCCCACCTAATGAAGTAATCAACGGCCGGCATCTCAAGCTTTTTGCTGCCATTGTCAATCAAAAGTCGCGTTTTTATTGCGCCTGCGTTACAAACCAAATCGCATCAAGATGTATTAATCATTTCAGCCGCTGCCTGCGTTGGCGTTAGCAACATCAACGCTGGCAGAGGGACACTCAAAAAAAAAATAGGTTTACACAAATATTTAATTTTTGTAATAGCACTATTTTTATAAATATTCATTTTTTGAATGATGGTTCTATTTTTGGAAAATATATATAATTGGGGCCCAAAAGGAAGTGCAAATAAATTTTAAGAGACTTTTTCGGACAAGCTTTTCGTTTATAATTTATTTTTTCCTAAATATGTTTGTAAGCCAAACAATATATTCTTTAACGCGTCTTTTATAATGAAAAAGTTTACATATAAAAATCACATAACCTTTGAACTCAAATAAGAGTGACATTAAATATATTCCATAGTTCTGTAAGTTGATAGACAGGATACCTTGCGTTTTAGGCAATTTAAATTTTAAGCTTAGGGGTCAGAAAAGTAATTCGAATTTCATCGATTTAGTTGCATTTTTTCTCAGTGCAGAGGCAACCGGCAACAGTTAGCAGCAACAACCAACAAGCAACAACCGGCAACGGCAATGCCATTGCTTTTATCAGCTGGCGCAGATCTCTTTGGCATAGCCAGGCGTATAAAAAAACGCCAAATAACTACAGGCGAGACGGGCATGATTAAAATGCGCAAAAATGGCAAACTCCAAATGGGCGCTGCTCGGCGGTAACGGCAACACAACAACAACAACAACAACAACAGCAACAACAACAACATCGAGAGCTACAACAACGGCGTGTGATGTACACGCGGCGCATTTCAATTCCATTTGATTAATGACAAAGCCGTAAAAGCAACTGCAT